GACAAAGCTGCGTCAAATTTGGAGACCTGCCTGCCTGTGCCACCCAAGTGCTGAGACTGAGGTCTAACTCCTTATTGGAATCTCTTGGGAGTCAGGGGATGCAGGAGAGCAGGCATCTGCGCTGCCTTCCTACAGAGGAGATGAACCCCCAGGCGTGCTCCCATCTCGTCCCGGTCTGCACGCATGACGGGACAGTCACCACTAAGGGCCACGCTCAGAAAATGGCTACAACATAGATGTGGGTTCACTTCCAGATCTGTCTCTCAGGGACAGACATCATCCTCTCGTACACTGTATTAACACCAAGCCACACTGCGCTCCAGCTCCCACACACTGAAGGATGCCGTGTGCAGCCTAGCGCCGGATCTTTCCTTCAGCACCACATTCTGCCTTTCCAGCAGGAGCTTGTACGGTCAACACAAATCCTTCAAGGAAGTGTCTGTCCTCGCTCTTCCCCCCACCCCACCTACACCAACGCCTCAGCCTTTCTTCTGACTGACTGACTAACCTGGGCAGTTCATTCCTTTCTTTTCAGACACCTTCACTGGCCCACAGGACACAATGAATGGGTTGTGCTCAACAAACTGGGAAGTGGACCTTCCACAGATCACGCCAGGGGCCGCTGCTGGGAAGCTAGGGAGAATGCTTTAATAAACCAATCAGTTTCGTAGAGGCCTGAGGTGGAGGTAAGAGGATCAGTTCCACATCAGCCAGACAGCCTGGTCTACGGAGTGAGTTTCAGGCTAGCCAAGACTACATTCCGTTTCAAGGTGGGTAGAGGTGTGGGGAGTTATTCAATGTCCTTTCAGGGCTTCATAACAAGGCGTGTTGAATTCTCTATTCATGGCTTTACCCAAAGCCAAAGGAACCCTAAAGGAAGCCTGGACGGTGGTAGGATGCTGGATCAGGTGTGGAACAGCATGGAGCAAGTGAACTAAGGCAGGGGCCCCACCACTTCCTCTGACCCCTGCCTCCCAAGCATGGACTTCTAGGGGTATGACCAGTGAAACTCCCAAAGGACCCCCACCCTCTTAAGGTAATATCAATAGCTGAGTCAGTCCAGGGGAGAAAGGCATCCCAACCTCTGTCCTTCCTTCCCTCAGTAAGTACTGGCATGGCTACTCGGGGTCAGGGTCAAGAAGGCAGCAGGGAGAGCTAATTCTGGGGGGACTCAAGAAACAGAAGCAACAGACTCAGCTCCAGTTACACTTGGACAAGGGGACAGAGTCAAGACGACTCCTGTGTTCCTAAGGGTCACAAGCCACCAGCACCACTGTACAACATAGTATTTTTTTATTTCCTTGTTTTAGAAACAGGGTTTTATGATGTCCAGGCTAGCCCCAAACTGGGTATGTCACTGAGGCTAATGTTAAAGTCCTAATTTTCTGCTTCCACCTCCTAAGAGCTGGGCTTATAGGCATGGACTACTAAACCTGGCTCTGCTATTTTGGGTTTGTTTTCATTTTGTTTTTTGAGAGAAGGTCTCGCAATATAGCCCTAGAATTCAAGGCAATCTTCCTGCCTCAGCACCCACTGGGATTACGGATGTTTTCAACCATGCCAAACTTCCACCTTATCTAAATGGGTCTGTGTGCAGCATGGGTTGCCACTCCTCAGAGGTACGGGCAGCAGCCACTGTGTTTCCCAACCTTCCAAGTGGCAGTTACCCAGGTGTTGGGCCCCTCAGCAGGCAGCCTGCTTTCTGTTATTAACTTTGGAAAAACATCCCTGAAGGTCAGAACAACTCGCACAAAAAGGGCAAAGGTGGGCACTTCCCAGAACCAGGCTGCCACGTTACCTAAACAAGGCAAAGCTGGCCTTAGCCCAGGGACCGCGGGGACCCGATGTCTGCCGCAATATTTGTATGGGGTTCAAGGTGAAGGGTACAAAAGGCAACAAATATTTGAAATCAACAAGTGGAACTTACTCCTTGTGTTAGGTAAGAAATTAAGAACAGAACAAAACAAAACAAACCAACAAAAACTCTGCATAGCCTAGGTTTGGCTCAGAAACCAGTTCTTGTGTATCCCACTCAGGACTCTAACGCCCTGGTAGTGTAGCTGGCCCTGCTCTACCCTATCCCCTTCGCAAGTGCTAGATGGTGGGTGTACAGGCATACACCATCACAGTCCTAAAGAAACTGCTGGGGGGGGGGCTCGGCACCTGCTACCAAGTAGGTAGGCCGGCGATCACACGGCATCCCTATTTCCGCTTTTTTAACACAATATGCTGGCATTGCATCTCACATTTACTTATGGCAGTGGAACGTACATACATAGATGCATACTTACACACACACACACCACACTACAGAACGTGTGCGGAAGTTGGGATAATTTTCACCTTGCAAGTTCAGAGATCGAACTCACTCAGGTCGTCAGGTTTGGCAGCAGGCTTATTTTCCTGACAACAAAAGTTCTTGCAATAAAAGCTTAAATTGGCATTAATTCAAGAGTGTGCAGTAATCCTTTTCTCAGCCTGCTAGGCGCGCCTCCGGCTTAACTCCCCTCCTTCTTCCCGGAGCTGGGGGTGAATCTTTGTAAGTTCCCAGGCCGTCCTTGAACTCCCGGATTCAAGCGACCCTCCCTCCTTAGGGGACTGGACTTCTGCTAAGCACACTTTAAAACGATTCACCTTGGACTACCATTTATTCTAACTTAATTCAGTGCAGGCTCCTACCAGCTGCAGGACTTTGGCCTACCCGTCAACATCTATGCAGGGTGACTAAACATATTTTCCGACAAAACAAAACCTGCAAACGGTCAAAGTACGGGGGCGTCCCGGGCCTCCGGGCGCCTGGAGACCGAGACTGCAAGTTCAAGGCGCTGGGGAAGGGAAGGGCACTAACAACCGCGGCTTCCCGCCCCGCCCCTTCCCCCACCGCGGCGGGGGTCACGTGGCGGCTGAGAAAAGTAGGGGAAAGGTTACGAGAGCCCCGCCCCCGTGCTGGCGCGTCCGGGGCGCTCGGATCCTGTTCCACCGGCCGAGCCCACGCAGGCCTTCCGGAGCTAGCAGGCGCGCGCCGCCCTGGGAATCACCGACCCGTTCTGTCCGACGACAGAAGTCGCTTGCAACAAAACAATCTGAAAACTCTGTGCCTCCAAGGGTTTCAGAGAAACCCAAGCCAAAAAAAAAAAAAAAAAAATCGTAAAACTTACATTGCTTTTATGAATGGGTAAAATGGGCAAGAGGAATCAGGGTTGAGTAACCTCCAACGGGCGCCCCAAAAATCCCGGGAGAACCATGCCTGCCCGTTCGGTGAGCACTGGGTCCTGGCCAAGCCCAGCGGCGGCGGGAGGGAGGCGTTTCTCTCCCTCATCTGCAGTCAGGTGGCTTTCTAGCTCAAACTCAAAAGGTTTTGTCTTGTGCAAGTAGCCGCTTCGGCCAATTTTGATACAAAACCTGACCGGGGTTTGATTCCAGAGACGGTTAAGACTAAGACGGAGTTCAAAGCCGGGCGTGGTGGTACACGCCTGAAATCACTGCACTTGGGAGGGGGGCGTGTGCAGGAAGGAGAACAGGGGTTCCAGGCCCCATCTCAAAAAAAGTAATAAATAGATACAAGAAAAATATTCAAGTATTTAAGTCTAGCGAGGTGTCGTAGTTAATCCTCATAACAAAAGGGCTCTTGATGCTGTGACAAAGCCAGACCAGCAAGACTCTGAATGCAGCTGGTGCCCAAACCTACCTACTGTTCTGCACTGTCCCCTGCACCAAGTCAGATTTATGTCCTCACTGAGCTTAGTCGACTGACTAGAAAGGTGGGGGGAGGGAATGTATGCTTGCAGGCACAAATGAAAGACCAAAGCTGTATTTTACTCATTTGGCTTGTGGTTTTGACAGAGATAAACACGCTTGAATATCAGGAATGACCAGAAACCAGACGCCTGTGCGAGAAAATGCTGTAACTCAATACGTTCCGAAAGGCTTCTAAACTCACTTTCATTTTATTTACAAACTTCCAGAGTTAGCAGTTCCCAACTAAAATGTGTCCTTGGACAACTATTTGAATGCACGGAACAGAAAGGACCTGAGAAGAGTCGGCCGGGAGATGAGAGTACTCAGCTTGATCTATATCCAGCCTGGTTCACACTAAGAACTTTTTAACTCCTTCAAAAAGTGAGCATTCATCTGTTTTCTGTGGCATTAAAAAAAGCCAGGTTCGGATTCACAATATAAAGACGAAGAAAAACGAAAGGAATCAGCTGTTAGAACACAGCCAAGCGGTTCTAGGGGCTGCCCAGACCTCACCGTCGGGCTGTCCCTGGCCAAGTTCTCTCAGGCCTGGTCACGTGACCCCTCTCCAGGCTCCGGTCCCTGCGCGACCTTGGGCAATCTCTGGGCACCCACCTGCCCTTGAACCCCGCGCTAAACGAGAGGGAGGGGTGCTCAACACTTGAGTCTCAGCGCCAAGGGCGTGTCCCGACGGCTGCACTGCGGGGACCCAAGCGGGGAGGGGGCACCGGCCACCTGCCAAATTCCTAGGCCGAGCATCCTTCCTGCTACCGCGCCCGACCCTCGGGGACCCCCGGCAACAATCCACCTGCAGAGTGGCGAGTGGGATGGGACTGGGAAAGAGCTTGGCGCCCACACTTGCTCCAAGCCACCCGCGGAGTGGGGAGTGGGATGGGACGGAAAGGGATTTGACGTCCATACTGGACAGGGACCAAGGAGTCATGCCTAATTCAGAGCATCCGTCAGGGTGCACTGATGACCCCAAACCCATGCGCAGTCTCCACCGTGGAGAGGGACACGAGGAGCCGAGGCCCCACGCGTCCCTGGCGAAGGCATCCTGCCCAGTCGGGGGACCAAGCATCCTTTCTCCCACTCCGGGATCCCTAGACCGGTCACTTCGCGGGGGAGGGGGTGCCCTCTGCCTCTCCAACGCGCAGCTCCCGCGAACCCCGTGGACACAGTCTGTATCCCCCTCCGCGCTCCCATAGATGACACCCGCGCCCGGTCCAGGGCGGTGCCACATCGCTACCCAAGCACTGCCTTACCGAGTCTGCGGACGCCGGCAGCGGAATGAGCGAGAGGAGTCCCGGCCGGGGCGGGCGAGGCTAAGCGTACGGACGCGCGCCGCGGGTGATTGGCTGAGCTGGGCCGGGCTGCGGCGCGGGCGGGGCGGGGCCTGGACGAGGCGGGGCTACGGGGAGGAGTCCAGTGAGGAAACTGAGGCTAGCACCCGCGGTTGCCCACAATAGTCCTAGGACAGCATTCCTCACCCTTGAAGCCCTGTTTCTTCTTCTACAAAAGGGGCTAACTCATTAGATAGGGCCATGCCCATAAATGTTCTTTGCATCACGCTTGGTTTACACTCGCGGCATATATGTATCGGCATATGAATTTCTCTATACTCCTGCAGTTCATGCCCCGGACCTTTTTTTTTTTTTTTAACCCACCAAACAAACAAAAACAAGACAGGAGCTTGGCGGGGAATAGTTTGCCATCGCGGAGTGAAGAAGCCCAAGTCCCAAGCTTGAGTGATAGATGTTTCTCATCCTAGAGCAGATTGGCTCCAGAGGCCAACACACTCATAGGTTACCTGGAATAAAATCATCTGGGTTAAAAAAAAAAAATCTCATCTGTGGAACAATTAGGATCTGGGCTTATGGTGTGGTGCATGCCTGTCCTGTGTAAGGTCCTCGATTTTCAGCAGCAAAAAGCAATAGAATAGAATTACTCTTTGGACACCTACAACTAATAGGTGCCGGGCCAGAAGTGATTGGAACCTGGTGCGGAGTGGCCTCTGCGGAGGGACCGCCTGGCAGCACTCGGGCGAAGGTTGCAGGCTGCGCTGCGGCTGGAAGAAGTCGGGCCAGCCCCGGCAGGGAGCTCTACCCGCCAGGTGGGGCGCCCTCCCAGGCTGCAGATTCAGGTCCCGCATATAGCAACCGCTCTATAAATGCACTGAAGAAGGAAGATTGAAGGGAAGCACTCCTGGTCACGGAAGACTGGTTTGCCTCCATCTTTCCCTGTGTTACCACGGAAAGGTTCAGCAGAGAAAATGAAAGTTCCCCTTTGATCCCGCCCCCAACTGTGGTTAACCGTTGCTGTGTCTCAGCGCGCCCCCATCCCCATTGTTTTAAGAGTTCTGGAGATTGTTGTGTGTAACTTTACGGGTTTTGATTAGTTTATGTGAAGTGACTCGAAGCTAATCGGGGTATTTCATTTGGCCGCACAGTTCTGCTGTAACTTAACTGAACCGGCCTCCAAAGGACATTTTGGGACACCCCACATCCACATGCCATGGGCCTTCTTAAACACCCTTCTCTGAACACCTGTTTCTGGGCGTGAAAGCAGATGTCAAGTGTGACATGTGGGGAGCACCTACCGAAGTGCTATCTGGAAACACTTTCTTCCATCCACCTGACTTAAAGAGGTGAAAGGGGAAGAACTTATTTTCTTCCGGCATTATTCTCACTATCATTATTATTGTTGTTGAAGCTTGCAAGGAGAAGGCGCTCTTCTCCGCCCTAGAAGGCAGGTGTCTAGGCCCTGCACTGCTATCTGCTGCATCCGCCCTGGTGGCTCTAGACACCCCCTGCCGCTCCCTTCTTAAAGCTCCTTTACCGCGCAAGGACTATCACACTCACCTTAAATGCCCTTCCTCCTCTCCCTACAACCCCAGCGCTAACCGGTCCCCTCCCCAAGGACACTTCCTCCCTTTTCGGCGTCCTGCTTTGCGTCTGTCTGGATTGGCCCGGTGCCCTGTCTGTCCGGAAGGCTCTACGGCCTTGACCGTGGGCCCCGGTGCCACCTGCAGGCCGGGCGGGGCAGGAACAGGGGCGGGGACTTCGTCAGTAGGAGCGCCTTGGCCCGGCGCCTCTTACTTCGCGTACCTGTACCCAGGGGAGGTACGGTAATGAGTCAGAACCGCCTGCAACTAGTTTATGCTATGGGAACCTCCTTTTCCTTTAACTCTGTCCCCACTATGACTCTGCTCCAGGGATTGTAGTTCCCGAGGTGGCTATTAATAAAGAGCTTAAAGAACACCCCCCCACACCCTATCCCACCCCCACGTGCGCGCGCCCCGGGGGGGGGGGCGGGGAAGCTTCGGCCCTAACCTAAACTCCCTGAGCGCTGAAAATATCTCAGGAACTGGCCGCAAAGCTAGAATAACTTTTCTCAAGCTCTTCTGGTTATGTTCCACATTCTTTCTCAGTTTTAGACTGTGCCAGCTGTCCAGGACAGATGTTTGCCCTCTGTGGTGGCTGGCATCTATAATCCCAGCACTTGGGAGACTGCGACAGGAGAATCACATATGAATTGGAGGTCAGCCTGGGCTACAGTATGAACCTGTGGAAAACAAACAAAAACAGGGTTGGAGAAAGTGACTCAGCTGCTCAGAGTGAGCACTGCTCTTCTCTAGGACCAAAGTTTGGTTCCCAGCACCCAGTGTGGAGAGGATCACAAGCACTGATAACTCCAGTTTCTGGAGCTCTGAGGCCCTCTTCTGGCTTCCTCAGGCACCTGCATTTATGTGTACATACCCTCCCGCACATGTAATTAAAAAAAAAAATCTAAAGAAACAAACAACCCAGAGCCAGGGATGTAGCTCGGGGTTAGAGTACCTGTCTAGTTTGCACAAAGTCCTGGGCTCCATCCCCTGAATCACATGAAGCAGGTATGGTGGTGCGAATCTGTGACTCCAGCGGGAAGCTCAAGGTTATCACTGGCCACGTAACAAGTTTGAGGACAATGAAAAGAAGTTAAGCTGATAAGTGCACGCAAGACAGGTGAGCTGCCACAGCCCTCGTATTGTGTTATTTATTTGTTTGTACCAGGGCTGAAAGACAAGGTCTTACCCAGAGTAGGCCAAGCCACATCCCAACCCTAATTATCTGACTTAATACAAACTACAGGGAATTCTCATAGGCCCCACTGACCGCTCCATGGCCAGACTCCCCAGCCTCCTTTTCCATTGGCAGCCCTTGGTAGGTTTCTATTTAAGTGTGTAAGGTTTTTGGGAACTTGGCTCTGCGACATAGTTTTGAGGGAACTATCCCATAATAAAGAATGTTGTAATCCCAGAACTCGGTGCTTTCCCCGCCTCCTCAGAGTCCCCCTGAATTTGAACTTTGAGCCGCTGTACACGTTTTGAGTCAACAGCGGAGGTAGTATTTGTTTAGCCAACGTCACCAGGTCCAATGAGGACAGTGACGATGTCACAAGGATAACAAACCCAGGGCTGCCAATGAATATGGCGAAAGAAACTTGGAATCCATGAGGCTTTTCCTGTTCCCCAGTGCTCCTGCCAGAGTGCAACTGTCCTGTGAAGATGCCCTTCTCTGCTGGCCACCTTCAGGTCAATGGCTCCACTCTGCTTTCCTCTGGCCCTTCCCCCCAGCACCCAGCAAAGGGAAGGTTAGCAGTGATTGCTGTCCCAGAGAAACATGTAAAGACATAGAGCAGAGGCTAGGAGTGTCAGTGTGGGCCCCAGAAGCCATTTGGTTGCTTCCCCGCTCTTGTAATTTCAGTTCCACAGGATCTGACGCCCTCTTCTGGCCTCTCTGGTCACCAAACACACACACACACACACACACAGTGCACATACACACATGTAGACACTCATTTTTTAAAAAGTAATAACCAAAATAAAACAAAAAGGGATGAGCTATGGCTTCTACAGAGAGCAGGTTATCACCCACAGGCCCTTGGAATTTAGTGGTAGAGATGGAGGATACACACCGACATGGTATGGTGGTATAGTTGTAGGTAGCAGTTTTTAACATCTGTGGAGAAAATCAAGACAGGGTAATGGGCTGGAGGGAGATGAGCAGAGTGGGTGGGTAAGGAAGACCCCTCTGCAGAGCCTCAGTGACAGGTCTCAGTATTCGGGGAAGTGTGCAAAGGGAATGGCAGAAAATTACAGCAAGCCACTGGGGAGAGACAGGAGAGAGAGAGAGAGAGAGAGAGAGAGAGAGAGAGAGAGAGAGAGAGAGAGAGAGAGAGAGACATACAAAGCCAGGCATGGTGATGCACAACTTTAGTCCCAGCACTAGGGAGGCAGAGGCAGGCAGATCTCTGAGTTCAAGGCCAGCCTGGTTCACAGAGCAAGTTCCAGGACAGCAAAGGCTCCATAGAGAAACCCTGTCTTGAAAAACAAAACCAAGATATACTGTTAGGTGAATGGCTTATAGACAATTCAGCAGAGAAAAGTGCTTAATACCAAGCGTGACAATCTAAGTTCTACCCCCAGGACCCACATGGTGGAAGGACAGAGCCAATAGTCCATAGTTGTCCTCTGACCTACAATATACAACACACACACACACACATGCACGCGCATACACACACACAATGTAATTTAAAGTTGATTTCAAGCTGGGGGTAATGGCATACAATTGTAACCTTAGTTCTTGGCAGGGAGAGGCAGGAGGATTGCTACAAGTCCAAAGTTAGCCTGGTCTACATAGCAAGTTCCAGGTCAGCTAAGGCTATACACCAAGACTGTATCTCTAAAGGATATCAGAGAGAGAGAGAGAGATTGAGATTGTGTTTCTCTCCTGGAACTCAGTCACTCAGTAGACCAGGCTGGCCTTGAACTCAGAGACCCTCCTGCCTCTGCTTCTGGGATTAAAGGCGTGTGCCACCACCACCCAGCTGGACTAGGATTTCGACAAGGATTATAGCACCCTGTTTGTATACCCCAAACCACCGGTTTGTGTGTCTCCAAATGACTTCTTATGATATATGAGTCACATCATTGCAGGCTTGAAAACTGAGGACTTACATTTATAGAATACTAATATACAACAAAGAGGGACACAAAGAGCTAAGCGGAGCCGCGCGTAGCTACTGCCTAGTAAGAAGTCTCACTGTCACCCCATTTGCCTCCAAGGAGGCTGACGCTGGAGCCTCTGTGTTGGGCCCTGCTGGCCCAGCATGGCAGGTGAACCAGAGCCTGCCCACTCTAGAATTTGTCTTTTCTAGAGTACCAGGACTAGTCTGGTTGGCCCCTACCTTCCCTTCAGGTCTCTAATGCATAGCTGCCCACAAAGACAGGAGGAGGAGACCAGAAGACACTTGAGTGGAGGGAACTGAAGGTATGGATACTCAGACTCAGGGTGTGGAGTGAGGCCCTGAGGGCAGGCATAGCAGAGCTCAGCAGATGTGGGGACACAGGCTGAGAAGAGGTCCAGGCCCTAGAAGAGCACC